ATATGAGGGTTTTTCAGTGAAAGTCTCAGATACAGCACATACCACCAAGGACAACAAAATCGTATTCGCCTTCGACCTGGTCCAGGGAAAACTGACGGTAGGGACTGCTGAATGGCCACATTTCGTTAGTTTGGGAGACTGTAGACGGGACACACTGTGACACCGGGTATTTAACCGTGGGCCGTTTGATGATCATGCTGATCGGCGTTTTCCGATCAAGTCTTTCCCCAACTTTGACTTTCTCTTGACTTTCCCTCCTTCACCTGCACAAGGTCTGCTTGAACTTTATTTCATTTTTGGACGGCAATAATCACTTCCTCCTTGATTTTCTCCGTGTCTTCTCTGACCAACGGCAGACAGGCTCGGTCTATCGGACCGTTCCAAATGGCAATTTCTTGGCAAACGCCTTCGACTCCTTCGTGTAGATTCCCCAAACATTCCCCGCGCTTTATGTGAGTGGCACACTCATCCACACTCCGCTTCCCACTCGGTCAGACGTTTGTCGATCAAGACTTCTTGCTACAGGGTCTTTTAACTTCGTTTTGACTAATGACCTTTTTTCAGTGTGAATTTTGTTGAGCATTTTTCATTGGGATTCATTCGGGTTTTTCTTTACTCCGACTAGAACCTTTCGCTCTTACCATCAAATAATCTTCGTGGAAGCACCGCTGAACGTCCACTTGGGCAAAGACTTTGGTGCTCAAAATACGCTTTTCGGAACCTGTCACGGTGATTTTTTGCTGGCGGTTATGGGATAGTGGTATCGGCAGCAGTGACGGGCTTGAGCGTGGCAGAGCGTGTCCATTTCCTATCAATATTCCCGACCCTGGTTACTCAAAGCCCATCATCTTTGCGGGTCTCGCAGCGCCTCCTCAAATGTCGGAGCTTCCAAACATCCCTCAGGGCGACATCCCTCACCTCCCGTTTTCCCTCGACGCGACGTTCGGCGCGCTCGAGCTTGGCGTTCTGTTCTCCGTGTTCCTCTTCGGAGTGCTTACGGTTCAGGTTTACCTGTATTTCGTCCGATATCCCAAAGATCCCAGGGGCTTCAAATGGATGGTCCGTAACACAAGTGTTTCAGCTCTTAAGACAATGACCGTAGTAGGTGGCGATGGTTTGGATCTTGGACCTCGGTCATACAATCGCAATATGCCACTGCATCTACACGATCACCGTCACGAAATATGGTCAACCCACAATAATCACTCTCCCGCCCAAATCTCTGGACATTTCGATTTTCCTTAGTGGCTTCATCGGCCCGCTGGAGCAGGTGGATTTCGTTGTCCTTCCATGGTCGTAATCTGACTTTGGGCATGTCTCTGAGGGGTGGTTTACCTACCGCCTCTACAGGTTCACCAAGACCCTTCCACTCCCCATATTTTGTGCAATCCTCTCGTTGCTACGGCTTGGAGGAAGCACCGGCCTCTTCGCGATCTCCCTTGCCGGCCCCACCATTCAGAGCTACCTCATTCGAGAGAAGTGGCTCATAGAAGCTGTTATAATCGTTGGCGCCTCGGTTGACGTGATACTTGCCGTCGCTCTATGCTACCACCTCAGCTTCTGGCGAAAAGCCGGTTTCCGAAGGTATTCGTATGACGACACTGTGGGAGCTGCGTGCTGAATCCAGACAGAACAAGCAGACTCGTGAACCAACTCATGACTTGGACCATAGAAACGGGTGCAATTACCTGGTTATTCTTCTCATTTCCTTCGGTGTGTGTATGCTGATAGATTTCTAGCATCGGAGCGGTCACTTTACTCTTGACGGTATGCTTTTTGAAATCCCGTCGCTCTCGCTAACAGTTTATTAGTTCCTTAAAATGAAGAACAACCGTGCGTCGAGGCGTCCTATAAAAACGTCGGCTCAACATATTTGCAGTTGTCTATGGCGGCGTCTTCTTCTTGATGGCACAATGTCAGCATTGTGCCTAGCTCCTCTTCTATCAAATTGAACCGCATCCGCAGTCTTCTCCAACTCTCTTTTATTCTCGTCAGTCATCCGTGCTACGTGATCATGGTACTTTTGCTGATCTGAAAAATCTAGATTGAACTCCCGCACGCGCTTCGCACGCATTTGCGCCGAGTCGTTGATAATCCCCGGCTCAACAGCGCAATCTATCTCACAACTTGCCTCTTCGCGCCCCGTACGGCTTTGCCTGTTCCGATCCAACATTCTGACCCTCCACAGATTCCCTTCTTTGAACTATCCCCGCTCTCGCCCGAGCCGCCCGAGCTCCCAAAGTGGCAACCCGCACACGGCGCCCTTGTTCCGCTCCCCAATACCGGCCTTAGTGGCCCCGTAAGCCCGGTGTCCCCGCTATGTCCCGACGTCGCGAACGGTGCATCGGTGCAGCCATGAAGCCTTCATACGATCGAACTTGAACTATGGAGGGTCAGCGTTGTATGATATGTGTATTTGGACTCCGAACATGACTGCAGGCCTTTATACTAACAATTATGAGGAACTGGAAGGTTTGCACGAATATTTTAAGAATATAGCTACTATAGCACGCCGATCACATCCAAATCCCAACAACGCAAGTCGAACTGATTCCCAACCTAAATGAGACTGAAATATGGAATGCGGTGTGCTAAGTAGGTTTGGAGCAGTGCCACAGTCGGACCTGCCGGGCAATCGAAAAAAATGCGGTGGGTGGGATCTTGGTGACTCAACCCTTCGACGCCGGCGACGCCGATATCAATTCGGACGAAGGATGGATTCAACCCTGGCAGATAATCGAGCGAATTTTGCAAAAAACACCTCTCAATAATTATATGAAGACCTTGAGGGTGCGGTCAACGCGATTTCCACCATCTGCGTCCCGATCTAACCGCTCCATTCTTCTCTCGGGTCCGCAGTGTTGTGAATGGATCAGCGGACCAAATCATGAGCGCTCAGCCCCACGCGGCCTCAGCGCGGACATACGCCGATCAACTGTGTACACAACGCGTGGGTTCGGAAAGAAATATCCACAAGTATTCGAATAAAAATAAAGATAATACCACAACATGCTGCGAAGTGTATCGTCCATGCTGTACATAGCGTAGGTATGGATTGGACTGGACTGGCTACGTGCGCATGTTCAACGCAAGGTGGAGACGCTATCGAGTGTGTTGGTCGTGGTGCGCGAGATCTGGAATTGTGTCAGGCCACTCGATGCTGCATCACGGGCACTTTTGTGCTCACCGTTCCGGGTCGCTGGTCGTGTAGGAAAGAGGGGGATACCTATCGCACAGTTCAGTTAGCGCTGGGGCCTCAATTGAAGCAGGACATGAGCCCTACCGGTGTGGGCGCGCCCCTATAGTTTTCGGGCAGGGGTTCAAAAACCAGCGTGGCCTGCGAGCTGGGGAAGGACGGCCGCAGCGGGGTCGCCACGCGCGGCATTGTTGAGTCGGTGGGGCCGGGATAGTAAGGCCCGTGCGCGTAGGGGTCGAAACTCCGCACTGACTGCGCCCTGAAACTGTACGCCGGTGAAGAAGGCTGCGACACCGTGGTGCGGGAATTGGGGCTCGCTGGTGGGTCGCCGGGATAGAAGGGCCCGTGGCGGGAGTTCTTCAGGGGCATGAGGTACCGATACGGCTCGTCCTCCCGGGACGTAGTCGGAAGTGGCGTGAATTTCGGCCCCTTCTTGGCGCGCCGCCGGGACATGCATCGGTCGATGCCGTACACTGCCAACGCCAGGAGCGCGATGATGAAGAGGATGCCTGGGCGCCGCAAAGTCGTAGTGAGGACTGGGGATACGATATACCACGAGCGAATGGTCGTACCTCCGATGACAACGCCCGTTATCGCAATCTTGGAGTTCTGGCCCTTGTCTTCGATATCGGAAGCCTTTCCGTCCTGCGCACGGGCAGAGTGCATTGAGAGGGCCACGACGCACAAAACGATGGCAGAGGGAAACGGCGACATGGTGCAATGGTTACCTGCGAACGCCGCCCTTAAGCGCTTAAGCTTCCGCGTCTATACTTGTACCTGTGTGAGCACTAGGCTGTGATGGACTGCCGGAATGTCGACATGATCTTCGTCGGGCATTTACCTTTTCTGGAGGGTCGGTTACAAGGTTACAATTGATGCGGACAGTAAGGATGTTTACGGTGAAAATCCGAGTGGGCACACGACCAAGGTGACCGAGTTGTACAGTACAGAATTTGCTCGCTGTCGGTCCAGGACTGACAGGATCAAGCTAGCACATGCATGGCATGGGAATTGCATGGGAAGAACAGAATCCGGAGCGGGGGCCGGAGTTTCCCACAGTTGGAGCCATATCACTCAATCAACACCGAATGGGTTCAATAGGCTCTCTCAAAGGACAAAGTGCTACAGTACTCTGAAACTCATTCCCGTTCCAAAATTATCGTTGCGATTAGAGGTCGCAGTTGGAGCTTCCATTTTATCTATCGCTGTTCAAGTTCCTTCTCACGAATTTCAACCTGCCGATCGGCACTCCTCGGCGTCCAGTGATCACCCTTCCAGCCGGGCTTCCGTGATGTTGCCATCAATGTTTGATGATGTCCGCCGGATTCAACCGCGAAAGAAAATCTGTATATTCAAAGAGTAAGAGGAGCTGCACCAATTGGCACCAGCGAAATTGAACCCGGTTTCCCAAACCAAGATATCGCCGTGGCGCGAATTCAAACGAACCGACGATACCATACGGTGTGGTGTACCCAGCCGAATCCAACCCTACAACCCTTGCGGTTCGTTCTGCTCTGCTACATCCATATGGCCATCCTTACCTATGCAAAGCAGCCTATTAATGGTGCCAAAAATCATGAGCGCTCATCGAGAATATGTCATGGACTAGGAATATACTATGCTCCTCTTCCGTTTGTGTTGTGCTTTACCTGGCTGGTTCAGAAACTGTCGGGTGCACCTCTTGTGGGTAGATATCAATATAACTTTGGTTACAGATGCAGGACTTGCTCCACTGTCTGTGCTAGGCTGCGCCGCGGAATCGATTCATTACCCTTTACCTTGCTTGAATATCAGCAAAGACAACAGCACCGTAGCACAGTTGGGAGTGCGCCGGTCTCATACTATCCATGTGTGGAATCCGGAGGTCGCTTGATCGAGACAAGCCGTTGCTATTCTTTTTCTCTCTTTCCCTCTCTCCTGCACCGCCAAGGAGCCTGAGGTCACTCGGCCACGGAGCTCGAGTCATATTCAACCCCTCGGAGTCATATGTGGCTCAACATTGAAAATTGGGAATTTTAGGTGCCCCGGGTGGTTGGGTCTCATTTTTAATGGGATTATTGACTGCATTCCATCGCGCTGGTGACCACTGGGACGTCGAACAATCCATATTTTGATGTGTTTGTGAGTTCGTGACCGAGGCGTTCAGGTCACGTGTTAATGGTTGAAAAATCGCAAATAACGCAACTGTCTGCCAGGCTGAGCTCGATCTCGGTTTTAATTTGAATACTTTTAGTTCTCAGGACTAAGACTTTAAGCACCAGAATCGACGAGTTATTGAATTTTGGGTTGGATCGGACAACTTGAACGCCGAGAACACCGATGTGTGCTGGGTGCTGAATGTCCACTGGATTCGGGCCAAAATACCTTGGGCCAAGCGGTGTGTGCTGGAGTATTGACTCGTCGATGACTCGATATATGTACAGTATATATATTCAGGCAACAGAACAGAATAGGTATCGAGCCGGGCCCTTCCTTTCGCTAGCGCTTGCATCCCAGTTATGGTGGTTCCGGACGAGCTCTTTATTGTAAAAGCGCAGCATGCAGCAATTGGATCGAACCACCTAAGGGTCTTCCGCTGTACTACCTAGTGACGGACGTTAAGACCGTGTTCAAGGGCATTTGTTGTTCCATTTCTACGAACCCACGAGTAGCCCATTCATTCACATACATGCCCAACTCGTCTTGGCCAGCTCCGTATAGCCAACCCTAGTCAACCTTCCCGCAACTTGGCAGTGAACTTGAACTTGAACATCCCGACGGATCATGGGCTACAACCCGAACTCGGCTAAGCGGGAGCTGACTCAGCGTGCCTGTCAAATCTGCCTTTCGCGCTGTTGGTGTGCGCGGCTTTCGGCGGGCATATATTGGGCATATAACTGCGCCCAAGTCCATTATCCACCACCACTCTCACCATGACCATCTCAGTCACCGAAACCCCCGCCCAAGCCTCCGCGCGCGCCGAGCGCGAGAAGCTCGGGCAGCCTGCACACTGGGTCCACGCGAAGCCGACCGAGTTCAAGAACCCTTGGCCGAGCTTCAGGAACCACACCGCGGGCGACTTCTTCGAGGTGCGTGCTGTCCACGTCTGGTGAAATCAGTTAACATCCCGTAGATTCTCCCCGCGACCATCACGAACAGCGGCCCCTCCAAGGACGCCATCGCGCAGATCCCCATCCAGAAGCCCACCTGGGGCGGCATCGCCGACTCGTTGGCGGAGAACGGCAAGGCGGACCCGAAGGTCGTCGCAGCGAACGCACACAAGATCAAAGCCACTTGGCTCGGCCACGCGTGCTTCCTCGTCGAGCTGCCCTCTACCGTCGCGGGTGTGCGTGGCGCGCGCATCCTGTTCGACCCCGTCTTCAGCGATCGGTGTTCGCCCAGCCAGTGGGTCGGCCCGAAGAGGTTTACGCGTGAGTGCGCTTTGCTGCAGCTTAACGGATGAATGAACGTGTCTCCGCAGCCCCGCCCTGTGCGCTCGAAGACGTGCCCGAGATCGACGCGATTGTGATCTCGCATAACCACTACGACCAGTGCGTTTGTCCCTTTCCCTTCTGCATTCTATGCCGTTCCTGTCCGTCCGCGTCCTCCTCTCTTCTATTTCCACCCGCCGTGCACGTCCCTCTTGTGCCGTGGCCAGTGCGAGTGTGAGTGCAGAGTTAGGCGCGCTTGGTCTTGTCCTTCTGTGCCTGTCCTCCTCTGCGCCTGTCCTGCTTCTGCGCCTGTCCTGCTTCTGCGCCTGTTATCGCTCGTAGTCTGGTACGCGACCTGGTCGGGTCCTGGGCATGGCATGGCATAGTCGGCTCTCTCTCTCTATATATATATATGGCGGCAGCGGCGGCCTGGCCATCCTCTCTCTTTCGCGACGCTCAGACCCTAGAGCCGCCGCGGTATCCCTCTGGTTCTCTCCCTCTCGTGGGCAGTCTGTTCTCTGGTCGGATCGAGCTAGCTCGACCCACTTCGAGCTGTTCCACGCGCGCTCAGACCTTAGGGCCCGCAGCGCCGAACCACGCTCGAGACGACGCGGCATCGTGTGCCATGCGACCGTGGGGCCGGTATGCTCTCCCCGTCGTCGTCGTCGTCGTTTCCGTACACCGCACCCTCGTGCGCTGCGACCGGGCGAGCAGCGACTTACTTCTGCTTCGTTTCGTTCTCTTTTCTTGAGGAGGGGGAGGGGGGGGGGCGACTCAGCTTGGGGCCTTGGCTTGCCTTTCCGCGCTCAGAGCGAATTCGTGGTGGCCCTTTCTCCTCCTCTTCCTCTTCCTTGACTTCTTCCTTCGTGTTTCGCTCCTCTCCTGCCACAACACAGTGTTGTGGTCGGACTCCGTCGACGATGCGCGAACGACGACGTCGCATCGCTGCGCTGCGTCCACTTCGTCGTACTGCGCCCGGGGCGAGAGTCTTACGGACGCAAATATGCGAATTGAATTCGATCCCCTTTCCGTTTCTTTCTGTTTTTTTTCCCTTCTTTTTTTCCTTTCTCTCTCTCCCTCTTTCCGCTTCCGCTTCCGTTGCCGCCTCTCCCCGTCTTCCTCCCTAACGCTGACCCCTCCTCCCACAGCATGGACACGACCTCCCTCCGCGCGCTCCTCGCGCGGCGCACCCCGCCGCACGTCTTCGCGCCCCTGGGCAACGCGGCCTATTTCAAGAGCCTCGGCGTCCCCAACGAACGCGCGCACTGCCTCGATTGGTGGGACGGAAGGCGGGTGGAGCGCGTCGTCGCAGGTGTGTTTCATACACCTCCCCTTATCCTGTTCTTCGGCACTCGAGCTGACGGGGTACGCATTGCAGGCACGCCCACAGAGGCGAAAGACGGCAGCGACAAGAAGGAGGAGGAAGAGGGGCACACGCTCGCCTTTGACATCACCTTCACGCCGGGGCAGCACTTTACGGGGCGCGGGGTCCTCGACCGGTTCAAGAGCCTGTGGGGCGGGTGGGTCGTCGAGGCCGTGCACGCGGCCCCATCTGCTCCCGACGCTGCGCCACCGCCACCGCCCACGCAAGTCTACTTCGCGGGCGACACGGGCTACCGCGCCGTCCCCTCCTCCACCGACGACGGGCCCGACACGCTGCCGGTGTGTCCTGCGTTCAAGGAGATCGGCGAGAGGTTAGTCTCTCTTGCCCGCCGCCGTGATATCGCTGCTAACTCGGACGGCGCAAGATGGCGTGGATTCGACTTTGCGATGATCCCGATTGGGGCGTACGCGCCGAGGAAGTTTATGAGCCCGATACACTGTGCGCCGAGGGATAGTGTGGCGATATTCAAGGATATTGGCGCGAGGAGGGCGGTGGGGATGCATTGGGGGTGAGTGGTTGTCTGTTATTGTTTTTATTATTATATTGCTGGGAGAGGGTGGGCGGATTTCGGAGGGGGAGGGAGGGATTCTAGGGAGGAAGAGAGGAGGGAGGAGAGGGAAGTTTCCCTTCCTTGGAGGAGCGGCGGTTCCGTGCCGACATCCCCCTCCATCGTGCCTCTCTCCCCTTCTCCCCTCCGCCCCGTCAAATTTTCTTTCTTCCCCTCCCCTTCCCCGTCCCGTTCTTCATTTCCTTTCCCTCGCCTCGTCCTCCCCCGCTTGTCTTCCCTCTCTTCAAATCCCTCCCCATCCTCCCCTTGTCCTCCCCTCCCTTCCCGTCTTGCCCACCCCGCTCCTTCCCTCCTTCGGCATCTTCCTCCGTCCTCTTCCCTGTATTGTTTTCCTTTCCCTCCCTTCGTCCGTCTCACTGCCCTCCCATCTCCTCCCCAAGCTCTTGCCTTTTCTCTGCCTGTCTCCCCCTTCGCTTGTCGTTCCCCCTTCGCATTTTTCTCTCTTCCCTCTCCCGTCGTATCTTTATCTCCCTCCCTCCTTCCTCCCGGCGCTCCCGCCCCTCCCTTAATTCGCCTGTCGTTCCTTTTTCGTGCTCCCAGACCGCCGCTCCCGCCCCCTCTCCGCTCTCTTTCTCTCGCCCCTCCTCCTCATCCCCATCTTCTCCTTTTCTTTCCTTTGACTGTTTCCCGTTTCACGTTTCCCCCCTCCTCCCCCCCTCCGCTTCCGCTTCCCCGTCTTTTCTCGCCCCAAATCTTCCGTCGTCCATGTACTAACTGTTGCCCACAGCGCATGGGTCCTCACCACCGAAGACATCCTCGAGCCGCCCAAGCTGCTCGCGGCCGAGTGCGCCAAGGCAGGCATCAAGGAGGGCGCGTTTGAGGTATGCGCGATTGGGGAGACGGTCAGCGTCGAGGTTGGCAAGGGCGAGTAGATGAGATAGATATTCGGTTCTTACTTACGGGCTGAGGGCCATCCACGAGTTGCTTATGCGTACGGTAATACATATACGTCGTTCCCGACTTAATTTATGTACATACGATTTTCCTTCTTTCTTCTACCCTCGCCCTTAATTAAATCTTATACGCAGGCACCCCAAACCGCTCCTGCAGCACCACATACGTCAGCACCGCCATCAACATCCTCGCGCGCGCGTCGATCCCGCCCTGCGCCGGGAACGTCGGCTCGGTCAGGAATGCGTCCAGCAAATCGCGCACGGGCGCCCAGTCGAGGAATCCGAGCTTCTCCACGTTCGCTTGCGTGATGCGTGCTTTGAGGTGGGCTTGCAGCGGCAGGAGGGATGGGGAGTCGGATGAGGAGGAAGGAGGGGCGGGAGCGGGCGGCGGGTTGAAGGAGACCTTCTTGCGAGCGTAGACCTCGGGGGTGACGAAGGGTTGGACTGCTTGTCGGAGGATCCACTTTTCGGTGAGGGACCATTTGCCTGGCGCCCCGTCGGCGCCTCCGTCTTGGATGGGGCGGATTTTGAGGGATCTGTATGAGGTAAGAGAGCGCGTCAGTATGGTTTTACGACTGGGGTAGAAGTAGAAGTGGAATTGGGTGGAAGGGGAGAGACGGATGCTCACGGCGGGAGA